GTGCACGATCGACGACAAGTATCGATTTTTCCCCTCGTCCGCTTCAGCTCCGTGGATCAGTGTTCGCCGCCCGACCAAATGGACACCCTGTAAAGCGGCTGAAATGGTTTTTTAACCACTGACGAAACCAGCATTCTCCATTGAAATTATTTTGTCTTAGAACGACGGTTCTGCTCTTTAACCCTAGTTCTTTCTGATCGTTCGATCTTGGGTCCGTGAGTTTGTTTGTTTTTCCTTTTTGATTCTTTTTTTTTTTTTTTTTTTTTTTAATCAAAATCGGGCGAAGAGTGGACAGCTCGACGGGATTTCTGAATTCCCGAGAAATGTCGTGCGTGAAACGTTACAATCTAATCTTTCGCGGCGGTCTACCGTCGACTAGTTTCGAGCAATCATGCGTGTTACTCATGACCGCGTAGGTTCTCCATTAGCGAATGGTGGCAATTTTAAAAAAAGATCACGCACGTTTGATAAGATAAGCTTCGATGTTATTTTCAGTCGCTGCAGTCGAACACACACTCTATCCATTCTCTATTACCAGACCGCGAACCTATTCGCATCCTCACGAAAGCTACGAACTTGAAAAAGTTGGAGAAACGTAATATTATAAATTTTCAAATCGCGTACTGAATTATTTAACTCTCAAGAGACGACCGGTTATGTGATCGCAATTTCCAGACAGTTTCGTAACTAGACGCGACGTAAAAGAAAAAAAAAGATTCACGTGTTCTAATGTGTGTGCGACACGTAAATCTCATCGCGAGTCATCCGCGAGGCTGGAACTTAGGCCAGGAACCTTGGAATAGCAACCAGGCGGCACAGCTGAGCAATTCGGTCGTAGACTTTCACCGGTGGCGCCCTTGCACTCTTATCTAGGTGGATACAAAATTCCACCAATTTCTCTCGCGTTATTATATTATCTGTCTCGTTTCTCACTTCACGCGTTAGTGAACCCCCCTTTCTTTTCTCTGTTCAATTGAAAAAAGAACAGAATCTCTCTGCAAAGAGAATTGCACGGTACTCGAAAGTCCGTCGGGATTAATCGACAGGTCGCCTCGTTGATTAATTAAAGATCGTTAAATATCGGTAGTGGTAATGAAAATGCGACTTTTGAAGAGCGATTTCCACTCTTCACTCGATACTGAAGGAACTCGCTAGGGGTGGAGGAGGAGGGGAGGGGAACTCACCCTGATTATATCGAAGACGAAGTTGCCGGAGCTGCTGGAGCCGCCGAGGCCGGAGAGGAATCTCTTGTTTCTATTCTCGTCGTCCTCGGTCTCCACTTCCTCGAGGGGCGTCAACGGCGGCGCCGCCGCGCTCTCGCTGCCCTGCTCGTCCGCGAACTGAACTTTGATCTCGTTGTTCTGCGACTCAGCTGCTGCCACCTCGTTCACATTGTCCTCCACCTCTCGGTTCACATTCTGCGAAAGAAAATACACCCATGTTCGCGATCGTTTCCACCGTGTCTCCTCTGATGTGCTCCTCCAGCTGCCGAGAGATCGATCGCCGAGACGAACGTGGATTCGAAAACTTCAAAAGTGTGTCTAGGTCGCAGACCTTGGATAATTATGCATGAAAGTTGCCTCGTCTCTCTCGGGTCGAGTTCGACGGCGATCGATCGGCACTTGGACAGCGAATTACGCGGATTCTCTTCGTTCAGATCGAGGGAAACGAAGCGTGCGACGCGCGTTCTCGCGATGTCCCGTGATCGGAGCGCGCGTCGACCGAACGATCGATGGCTGAATGACGGCTACGCTCGGCAAGCAACACAGAAATGTATCCAATCGCTCACGAAAGCACGCTGCTTTTCAAACAAAAGTTCTCGTCTCGCAGAGAACTCTTTCACATTTGATTAATGACAACGTACAGTGATATATATAGGACCCTCTATGATGCGAGAAATATATTTCGCGTTATATATTTCGAAATCTAGAGCACGAAACGTTAGAACTAAATGAATAGTCCTCTCTTTTTTTTTCTTTTTTTTTGAAATGAAACGAGAAATAACATACACGATATAAATGATATAAACCTTTCGCGGAGATTTTTGAGGTCATGCTTGAGATATGTTGTTTCTTATTTCTGACATTTAAATAACGAGTAATCGAAATAAATCAGGGATCGGAAAAGTTACGGAGTTTTTAAATAGGTTCCGTTTGAAACGTGGGTCGTAGAACTTTTATGATAAATGTTTTTACATTGCAGATCCCCATGAGAACGGATAAATAAATATTCTTAACAATAAAAGACAGAATAGAACTTGTGAAATATAAAAGTAAAAATTCTTCTGGAACGGATAATTTCCGTTCATCGATATTAAAAAAGTTTCGTAGAAAATACTGAAAATTAAATTAAATGTTCTAAAGTAAGCTTGTTAGCATGGAACTTTTATTATTACAGATTCTAAAATATCTGTTTTATGAGAACACCATTAAACTTACTTCTACAAAAATTCCACGAAAAACAGATATTTTTTTTTTTTTTATACAGGTTCGAACGGAATGTTTCCTTTGAAAAGAACTTCAACCCTGAAATAACACAACTAATTTTGCGTAGAAATAATTCTAACTATTGTAAATAAATATCCTTCTGCCGCGCAAAATTGAACGTATAAATGCAATGGAAAAACGCGAATAACGAGTCCCTTTAATTTCTTAGTCGCGTTGTACAGGGTCCTACTGTGTTTACAAAACGTTCCTACAAGCGTTTGAACACTCCGATGAGCAAGTGGATAAAGTGGAAGCGCCATCGAGTCGAGACTCGTGGTTATTGGATTAGAAACAACGATTTTCCAGCGAAGAGTTCGAATTTCTTGAAAAATCCCACGGATTACAAATCTCGGATATAATAATTGAATTGCCCGACATGGATATAATCCTATCTAGACTGCTCTGAGTCGACGACGCAGCAAAAGCGTGATGGTGATATTGCGACACATTTACATCAAAGTGACGTTGACAGAACTGGTCACAAGGTGAGTAAAAAAAAGAAAGAAGAAAAAAGAAAAATGACTGAATCTATACGGCGTAGAATATCAAACTACAAAGTTAAATATCGTAATTTCCACTGCGATTATGGGAGTCTTTGAATGCAAAGTGATTTTTGTTTTTTCGAAGAACAGAAGCAGCCAGGCAATGACGATTAATATTAATGTTTTTCTTTTTCAAAAAAAAAAAAAAAAAAAAAAAAAGAAGTAGCCTCCTTTAAAGAAATGCCTCGCTTCACAACGAGAGATAACGATCTGAAGAAGAAGAAGAAGAAGAAGAAGAAGAAGAAAAGAAAGAGAGAAAAAGAAAAAAGAAAGAATGAAGAAAAAACACAATGCCAACAGAGAGTGGAGAGAAGCGAAAAAAAAAAGAACCAGGAATGACGTGAAACACGCATGAAGAGAGAAGAGAGTGTAGTTAACAAACAGAGTAGCAAAGAGAAAAATAGATGTTTTGCAGACAAAACAAAAATGTATTGACGGCCGCAGCAGTCCCAATTGCGCGGTGATCGCACCCCTTGCCGGGGCGATCAATGATGTCACTTGATTCAGGTT